TTGCGACGAATGTATGCCATTTGTTAGGCTCGTTCCCGATCCATGATAGAGTTATCGTTGAGTCGCTCCAGTAGTATGTATTATGAACAGTGATGTTCAATGCTTGTGAAGCCTTTTCGGAAAGGCGTGCTAATAAAACTGCTCCACATAATTCTAATCTAGGCAGTGATACCTTTTTTAAGGGAGCTATTCTAGATTTGGCGCATAGTAGCCTTGTGTTGTATGTGTTTTCGTCCGTGCTGCTGCGAATGTATAAGCAAGCACCATATGCCGCTTCAGATGCGTCACAAAACCCATGTAGTTCTGTTCGATCTTGTTGGTTCTCTAATACTCTCCTGGGTATTGAAATTTGTTGAACGTTGTGAATTTGAGATCTCCACTGCTTCCACATTTCCAACATTTCTCCTGAGATTGGCTCATCCCAACCTTTATTGGTTTGCCACAAGCGTTGTAGCAATATTTTCGCTTTGACTATGCTTGGCCCTAACCATCCGAGGGGGTCGTATATTTGCGACACTTGAGTTAACACCTTACGTTTGGTGATTTTGCTTGTTTCTTCTGACAGCCGCAATCTGTATTGAAATACGTCTTGATTTACGTCCCAATGTAATCCTAGTATTTTTGTAGGTTCGCCAATCTCCACCATGGAATTGCTGGAAGTATTCTTATCGCTAATTTCCGGTATGTTGGACCTCCATTTTCGCAGTTCGAATCCAGCACTGTTTAGTATTTTAGTTGTACTTTGTCTTAACTGCTTGAGCTCTTTGACTGTGGATGCCCCCGTTAGTAGGTCGTCTACGTAGAAGTCGTTCAATATGGCCCTACTTGCTTCAGGACATTCTTTTTGATGTTGCGATGCTATTTCCTGAAGGCATCTAATGGCTAGAAAGGACGAACAGGCTAAGCCGTACGTGACTGTTTTGAGGCGAAACGTGCGAATAGGCTCATCTTCATTCCATCTCCAAAGAATCCGTTGCAAATGAGTGTGCTCATCAATAACTTTGACTTGTCGATACATTTTTGCAATGTCTGCAGACATTGCATATCGGTGCTGACGCAGGCGGAGAATGATGCTAAACAGATCCTGTTGTATGGTGGGTCCGACCCTTAGGCAGTCATTTAATGATATTCCAGTGGAGCTTTTACAAGATGCGTCGAATACTACTCTGACCTTTGTTGTTTCGCTATCTTCCTTAGTAACTGCGTGATGCGGAAGATAGTAAGATAATTTGCATTGTGCGTCCTTTTGCAATACTTCTTCCATATGATTTAGGTTTAGGTATTCTGATATGAAGCTGCTATAGGTCTGTTTGAGTTCCGGTTGCCGTTTGAGCTTTCGCTCAATTGCCTTGAAACGTTTTGTTGCTGTTTCCATGGATTCGCCTAATTCATCTATGTTGCCCTTCAGCGGTAGCTGCACTATGAATCTCCCTTCAGAGTCCCTGGCATGTGTTTCTAGAAAATGCTGTTCACATATTTTTTCTTCCTCCGAAACGGGTGGTGATTGCACCATCTCCTCTATGCTCCAGAATTTTTCTAATTGCTTGTGTAAAGTTGTAGTCATCCCGCAATACGACCTTTTCTGCTGACATGCATTGGTCGTTTCCATTGGACCCGCAGCGATCCATCCTAGACGTGTTTCTTGAAAAACGATGGATTGATTTGATCCTCTGACTTGTCCTCCACTTATGAGGTCCCAAAATATAGAGGCTCCCAATAACATGTCTACGTCGCTGGGAATATGGCATGTTGGATCTGCTAGTTCTAAATTATTTGGAATATCTAACGCTGTTTTATTTATTTTGTGTATCGGCAATCGTTCTGTGATTTTATCAATAATTAAGAAATGAAGATCGGTCTTAAATTCATTCACGCGCGATTGAATGGTTGCTTGCGTTTGTTGAGCTATTTTTATTGGTATATTACTTATGCCCCCGATGGACATATTGATTGTTTTTTGTTTTAAATTTAATTTTTTACTGAGTTCCTTTGTAATAAAGTTAGATTGTGAGCCGCTATCGAGTAAGGCTCTGCATTCGTGTGAAGCACCGTCTCTATCACGCACCAAAACGACGGCAGTTGACAAAAGAACTTGAGGGCCTCCCTCTAAATTATAATTATTTAAGGTAGCTATGCATTTATTTGATACAACGGCAACCCCTTGATTGGCCGTCGCGGACTCAATGCTTTCTGTTTTTGAGTTACTGCTATTTGAAGTTTCCGAAGTTGTTTTGAGCCTATGTAATAATGTATTGTGATACCCGCGACATTCTTTGCAGTTGGGAGCTTTACAATTTCTACCATGAAAACTATTAAGACATTTGAAGCATAATTTTTTCTTTTTCACTTCAGCGCTTCTATCTTCCGCTGATAAACTAAGAAATGCTTTGCATTCGTGTAATTTATGATTTTTGGAACACATTGCGCAAGCTCCTTTGTCCGTTGAAACATATGCTTGAGCGACATTTTTATTTTGCGGTTGAGTTACTTTATTGCTGCGCGCGTCGTTGGAGGGCTGCGCATTTCGATTCGTATGAGATAACGCCTCTAAAAACATGCTACGATTCGTTAAAAAATCCATGAATTCCGCTAGAGTTGGAAATTCCTCTCTGTTAGATCTTTTTAACTCCCACTCCCTTCGCGAACCTTTATCCACCTTTGGTAATATAATGTGAATTAATAATGTGCCCCAGCTGGCGACAGGCTGCTCAAGCTTTGTTAAGGTTTGAATGTGCTGCGATGCGTTATCTACCAACTGCCTTAAATCTGAGTACGATTCTTTATTGATAGACGCTAAATCGAGCAATGCTTGAATGAGATACTGAACTATTAAACGTTTATTTTCGTACCTATTTTTTAATAATTCTCAAGCGATAACATAGTTATCGTTGGTTATTTCTAATGAGGCTATTATCTTAGCTGCTTCGTCAATCAGTGCAGATCTTAAATAGTATAATTTTTGAACAGCTGTAAGAACTGAATTTGTCGCTATGAGTGACTCAAATAAATCTCTAAACGGCACCCACCGTTCATAATTTCCATCAAATTTTGGCAGATCTATGGTTGGTAGTATCGCGCGCGTTTGAACAATTGCAGTTTCGTTTATTGCATGCGGCTGAATTATCGCTTGAGATATGCCTGCCGCGGGCTGAGAATACATTGGATGATCTTTCAGCTTAATTTGCCTGGCCTTACTTATCAATTCGTGATACGAATCTTCAAAAATTGTGCGCTGCTGCGCCTGCGTGTCAGAGTTATCTAGATCTTCTATTTTGTTTTGTAGCAACTCGAATTCATTCCATAATTCTTCTGCTTTTTCTAAACGACTGTTTCTACTTGTCTTTCTGGCTCGATGGCTATCAGCGCGAGATAATTACCAAATGCAGTGAGCTTGGCCTTAGTGCGGCCTCTTTGTTTGATCAAGCTCGAAAGATCATCCATTTTGCAATAATTTTTGGCCAATCAACTTGAGAGAAAGCTATGCTACAAGACAATGCGATCGAAACGCAACTATAATACAAATGACAATACAGTATGATATAATGCGCTCCGCGTTAACTTCTGAATGTGCCGTGAACCGACTTTACTTTATTATTCGTTACTTGTTTTTACTTGCTGAGGTACAGACAATTTTATAGCGTGGTCCTCTCGACCTCGGCAGGATGATCCACCGTTGCGTCCTCCCAGTGGTGCGGACGCGCTCGTCGTGGCTGAATATCACCCGATGGTGTGCGAAGGGGGCTGCCCGTCGTTTCCGGAGAGTGTGCCCTTGGATTGGGAATTGGAATGCTTCTCGTACCTGATGTCCCTTGCCTCCAAGACGCTGAGATACTTCGCGAACCTTTTGCTGGCGTTGCGAAATAAGGCGGCAATATGGTGTCGCCTATCCTGCTCGCACGAGGAATTGTACGTTCCGGTGCGAGAGAAAAAAGAAAAAGGGGGGAGGGGGCGGCAATGCTGGCTACGCCCGTAGCTACGTGTTAATAATTTGAGCTGCCCTTCTTTTCTTCTCTGTTTATTGCTCTCTGAATCAAGAGCGATGTGATACTTCACGTGCGTTTCTTACGAGTCGCTATCGTCTTGTCGTTCTCCGTTTGCGTTGCTAAGCGGCCATGTCATGGTGCGTACGCGCCTTCTTTTCCTCAATTGCAATGACCGCTGCACGGAGATTCACTGTGTCACTCCTCTCGATCCGGCTCGAAGGACCAGTTGTTCGAGCTTGAACTATATTGCCGATGAGAGGTTTAACAATGATAACACCCTTTGTGACTTGATTAACTCGTAATAATACCTTTATTGTACGAAATTGGCTTTACTCGTCGTACGTTGCACGAAGATAACAATAGTTAGTGAAAGTGGACGCTATCAGCTAGTGGCGTCACGGTACCGGAAAGCCGCTGACAGCGCCTTTCGATAGTTGGTAAGGTAGCTGCGAGCGTTACCTCTAACAATAGTATTACTTGAATAAAAATCTTATATTATTTGCACTAATTACCGCAATTTTGACTCTCAGCGCCCGCATTTATTGTATTAAAGTAAAATAATTAGAAATAAAAAAATAAAAATATATAATAACACATACATTTACCTGCAAAAACAGGCTATGTGCCCCGTTTTTTTGCAAGTAAGTATATTTACAAAGAAAAGAGGATCGTCGATAAAATCGGCGGAAGTGGTGGAGGACCTCTAGCTCGTTCTTGCTAAATAAAACCTTAAATTGACAATGTATGATTGGAAAAGTTCGAAGTATATTCAAGATCTCTATAATTGCTAATAACTATAGGTATATTTAGTAAAAACGGGCTAGTCTGCATTAAAAAAAGAGACACAATTTCATAATTCCATTTTTATGTAGACGCATATTACAAGACAAAATTCACAAAATTAACTTGTTTAAATATTCAATTTTAAGTTTCTTAGAATTTAGCACTTTTATTTCTATATTAGATGTAAAATTAAAATTTTCGTTTAAGAACCCATTAATAAACCCCTTGTATTATTAAAATATTTATTAAGTAAAAATGTAAACATTCTTATTCTAGAACCAGAATTCGGATTTTCTTGAATTATCTGTGAATTTTGTGTTAATATGTGTGCATTTTAAACACATACCGTCTTTTATGGCCGTTATTCATAGTCTGTTCTTATTTTAATTATCTTAAGTAATGTCTTAAGGTGCTATTACTTCTTTCTAATTGGCTTATGACATCTTAGGATTGCATTTAAGATGGTCTAAAATATCGACTATGAGTACTGGTCTATGAGGTGATTTATTTTGATTTTGTGTTTCATTTTTTACTAAGAAAGATGATTTTCCAAAATCATGTTTTAAAGTATTATATGATGTTTTAGTTAATATCTTCTTGATTTTAATAATATTTAGTAAACTTTTTATGTGATTATTTTTTCGTCTTACAGCAATTCTTAATATTTTTAATTGTTTGTCTTTTGTAACTAATTTTCTTTTGAATTTTCTTCTTTGTTCTTCAATAATACGTCTCAACTTTGCTGTTTGACATTGTAATTTTTTTTCGAAAACATCTGCTTGACCTTGTATTTTTTCTTCTAAATTTATTTGTAAAGATTGTAATTTATTTATTAGTTCTTCATTTTTCTTTTCCAATTTTTGTATTTTCATGTTCATCTCTTGAAATGTGAGTACATCATTTCGCTTCAATGTTTCACTTGTATTTGTTTCGCCTGCAACAAAAATAAAAATTGCAAACAAAAATGAAAATACTATGACACATATGATGGATTCGATCACTCGCATTACACTGAATCAGTACATATTAAGGCGATGCTAAAGCCTTCTGTTTTACCACATTTCCATTCGGTGAAAAATCTCTGTATTGGATGTACGGATTGCAAAAGTATTATTGCTTAAATTAAAGTACGCACAAACAGGACCTCAGCTGCACTGGATTTCGTGAGAAAATCGAAAAAAAGTTTCAGATTCGTTAAAAAATCACTTATTTTTTGGCTCGTACAGCTGTAACCTCAGATATATATATTTGCTTGATATAAGAGTTTTAGAGTCCATATCTTGAAAATAAGCGTGCAGCTGAGGTCACATTATTGAAACGAATGATATCGAGTTTGTAGAACTAAGATTGAAAGTCTAGAAAAGAAATATTTCCACCGAATAGAAAATACGTGTACAGGTACTTTGCGAAGATTGGGACTGTCAACAGAGCCGAAATTCCGTGTAGCAGTAGTTGCGCGGTCTTGCGATAGATGGTGCTGGCATATGTTAGATAAGAACAGATGTATGCGTTGAGTAAGACAGAATGATATATATTATATAATATAATGTAAAAACTAAATCAAAGATGTCACCACTATTATCGAATTTGGAATTAAAAAAGTCTATCGACCTTGATTGAGTTGGGTAATCGGTTTAGCATCCCCTTAAAAGCTAATTTATATTTTTATAGAAAGTATCTCAATGCAGTGATATAATCAACTTTGACAATAAAATGATACATATATATTTTGTTAAATAACATGACAATATTATTAGTAGATAGTTAATCTACTAATTAGTAGATAGTTAGTAGATAGTTATTTAAAATATTTATATACTTTTACATTTAACTTTGCTAATTTCATGAAAAACAGCTTTCAGTATGCACTGATTTAGCGCAAGTGACCGAATTCGCTAATAGACACATATAAAAACATACCTCTATCTAGCTTACATATAGAATTTTGTATTTCATCTTCTTCTAACTTTGGAATGAATTTGATTTCTATTTCTTCTTCATTTGAACTTATTTGCTTTCTTATTTCATTTATAATTATTTTCACTCTTTCTATGAAAGTGAACAAGAATTGTTAACAAAAATGAAAATAATACTATAATTTTTTGAATGTAATTTTAATATGTACTAGCTAACACTAAATATTCCTGAAATATTCATAAAAAGTTCCTAAAATAAAAAAAAACATTCCAAAAGTATTCCGGAATATTAATTTACAGATTTTAATATGTCATTCAACATTATTAAGATCGTTTCGAAGATGCGAATAAATATAAAAAATTTGTTAAATTACTAGTCAATTTAACTCGTGATATTACTACGGTAGTTTAGTAGAGTTAGCGGTTCAAGACCGAAAAATCATTTCGGCGCACGTTTCTAGGGATTACATACGTAATATATAAATTCACACAAGAATTATACAAGCATTAAGATCCAGTTAGATCGTTTAAGGCTTTGATTTCTATAGTTTGTGTTATCACATATACGATACTATAATATATTATATTGTTTATTCTGGAATATTCCGAAATAATTATGGAATGCTAAAATAATATTCAAATATCTGTTAAAAATTTCTGTTCCCTTAAATAAAAAAAAATAACGTAAAATATATATATATATATTTATACGATTATTTTTTAATGAAAAATAAAAACAATACTTTCAAAAAATGATCTGCCGCACACAAAATTCCGCAACAGTGACCGTAAGACGTAAACTTAAGCCAATCAGGATACTGCTTTAGATCTATGTAATCTAATGGAAATGGAAATAACAGTAAACATAACCTCGCATAGTTTTCCATAACCTCGCAACAAGGTGAATTACAATAAGGTTGAAACTCGCCTTATTACGTAGACCTAAAAGCAATATCCTGATTGGCTCATCGGCTTAAGTTTACATCTTACGGTCACTGTTGCAGAATTTTGTGTGTAACAGCCCTGATTGCACCAATGTTACTTTGACTTTAAACGAGGCTTAAAACTCTCTCTATCTCTCCTTCTTTCTCGGTTTTAAAGAGAGAAAGTGAGAGTTTTAATTCTCGTTTAATGTCAAAGTGACGTTGGTGCAATCAGATCTAAGGCTTTTTTCAGCGCTACAAAAATCACTTGCTCTTAATAAAATGATTTAAAGACAATCATCTCATATGATGTACCTCAGCCTGTTATATTATATTTTATGTAACTAAATATTACATAGCGACTCTAAACCTTTGGTATAAAATATGATATACCAATAATTTATTTAAAATATTTTTTAAAATTGATATTA